TTCTGGGTAACTCCTGCAGGAGTTGGAGCTCAAAGGGACCCCTGCGGGGATCAGAGCTTAGAGGTGGTGTCTAAAAAGAGAAGAGAGGTAGTTTGAAGTATAGTGTAGAAGAAAGGTCTCTGGGTAACTCCTGCGGGAGTTGGAGCTCGAAGGGGCCCCTGCGGGGTCAGAGCTTGTGAGTAGAGTCTAAACAGGAGGAGAGGGATCGTTAGAGGTAGACTGTAGAAGAGTATAGTTGGGAGTAGAGTGTAAAGGAGAGAAAAGGAACAAGAGGCTGAAAGGTAGGGTTATAAGAACTGAAAGTTAAGAAAGCTGGAAGTAGGGAACAAGTACAAATATTATACACACACACAAACACATACACAAAAAGCATATGAATACAAACATTAAGATCTGTAAATAACTATGGATGACCCCTGCAGAAGTTACTATTCGCAACGGCACTTGCAGGAGTCAGTTGGACAATATGTAAGAGTGTCAAGGAGAGGACAAAGGACTTCTGCGGGGGGGTGATTTGGATGACTTTTGCGAGAGTCGAGGCTCAGTTAGACACCTGCGGGCGTCGGAGCCGGGTGTGAGGGGGCTTGGGGTTTGGTTAAAGCCTGTTGGGCTTCCTTAAGGTGGTATTTGCTGAGGCGAATGTAAGATTTGAAAGCTTCAGAAGACCAGCGACCGAGGGTCTGGATCTGCTGGTGGGAGAGCCCATTAGAGGCTGCTGTAGTGGCCGCGCCAATCCTAAATGAGTGGCTGGTAAAGGGCTCTGGGGGAACGCCTGAGAGGCGAAGAACTTCAAGGTGTTTTCGAAACCAGAACTGAATTACTGGACGGTTAGCGTCATCAGCAAAAAGCGGGGCTAGAGGGTTAGCCTCTTGGGATCTTCTTAGATTTAGGTAGGCTAGGAGGGTTTGGAAAGGGCGGGTGGGTGAAGGTAGGTTAAAAATAAGAATAAAGTGTCCTTTATGGGATTGATCTGTTTTGCTTTGTTTGATAAGGAAAGAAATGGTTTCCTTATCTTGCAAAGCTAGATCTGAGATAGTGGGGTAGAGTAAAGGGTTAAATCTGGATGTCATTGTTAATTCAGAGCATCTGAGGAACCCCAAAAAAAGCTAGGTTGAACATAGCATCTAAGGTGCGGGCTTTATGGGAAGAAATGTAACCTTTACGGAGGGTGTAGATGCACGAGGTAAGGATTTTGAGTATAATGGGTTGTCTAGCATCGGGGGTGGTGGGGTGGGTTTTCTGAATGCCTTTGATAAGGAGGAAGGTTTGCGAATTCGTAACAGCATCGGAAAAGGACCCGTGGATCAACTTATGAAAGAATTAAATCCCACTGAGATAGCTCTTTATTGAACTGGCTTGTAAGTGGCAGGATAAGAGATAGGGAAGTTTGATGGAGATTATGAAGTGGGTGGTTTATGGCAATATCGTTTCTGAATAGGGAGGGACAGCCTTTGGGTGAGGGTCTGCCGGGGCCAGTTGCCAGAATTTCTGAAAAGAGAAACGAGAGAGAGAGAGTCAGCAATTTGGTTTTTGCAACCAGGTACATATTTAGCAATCATGATAAAATGTTTTTCAGCAGATATCCAAATATGGCGTCTTAGAAATGGCATAGGTGATTGGAAGTGGGAACGCCCTTTGTTAATACAGTGTGCTGTAGCTTCGTTGTCGCAGTGAACAAGAATGCTAGATGTAGACCATTCGTCCCCCCACAGTATGGCTGCTGCAACAATAGGATAGAGCTCGAAGAGGGCTGAAGAACATTGGTCTTTTGTGATGGAATTCAATTGGGGTGGCCATGTTGGGGCAAACCAGTGTCCTTTATAATAGCCACCAAAACCGATTGAGAGTGCAGCGTCTGTGTATAAGTCAATGTCAGTAGCGGATGCTATCAAGTCGCTGTAGAAAAAGAAAACAGCCGTTCCATTGCTTAAGAAAAGAGATCCATAAGCAGAGTTCATCGCGACTGGGTTTAAAAGGAATTTTTTTTTTCCTTCTAAACCATGAACTGTGGTGGATAGTTGAAGGAGGTGGGAAATGAAAGGGTGGCTTTGTGGAATAATGCTCTTAGCGAAATTTAGATGGCCGAGAATTGAAAGGAGTTCTCGTTTTGTGCACGTCTGTTTTTCAAGGAAAATTTGGGATAGAGAAATAATCCGGTCAATTTTCTCTTTAGTAAGGTATGCTTGGAATTTATGCGAGTCTAGATTAATGCCCAGAAATTCGATTGAAGTACTGGGTCCAGAAGTTTTTTCTTCTACATGAGGAATTCCGAGATTAGCGAAAACCTGCTGGATGATCGCTAGGTGTTTGGCTGGAGGAGATGACGGGGGAGAAATAATAAGAAAATCATCTAGAAGGTGAATGAGGTATGGGATTCCGTAATTATTAGACAGAATCCAGCATAAAGCTTCTGACATCATGTCAAATATTTTTGGCTGCTTTTGCATCCGAAAGTTAGTCGGACTGCAAAATAGAATTGATTGCGCCAATAAATGCCAAAAAGGTGCCAGAAGTCTGGATGGATTGGCATTATTTTAAAGGCAGAGGAAATGTCTACTTTGGCTAGCCAGGCGTTACGACCGGCTATATTCATGAGAGAGAGAGATCGCTTGATCAATGTCGTGATAATTAAGCGAATATTCGTCCAATAGGATAGTGCTGTTAATGCTAGGAAAAGAGGAATTGTGTGGGGACAAAAGGTCGACTATAAGGCATTTTTTGCCAGAAAAGTTTTCGAGTAGCGACACCAATGGGGCTAATGCGTGAGATATTAAATGGAGAAGCCTAAATGGTCCAATCATGAAGTTATTGTCGAATACTTTTTTAATAAGATAATTGATGGTTTTAGGTTCGGAGGTCACAGACTGCAGGTTAGGACAGAAAAGTGAAGAATGGAATGTATCCTTTGTGAAGCGGATGTGGAGTGTAATAGGTTGGATGAGGGTCAGCTTCTGGAGCCGGCCGTCATGATCTCTGAAATAGAAAAACAAAGAGAATCAGAAATTAAATCTTTACAAAATAATACAAGTATGGCAGACATGAAAATTGTTTTAGTTGATATCCATGCGAGGCTTCTTAATAAGGGCATGGGCGGCTGTAAATGGAAATGAATGGTCTAATAGCTTCGTTGACACAATGTGCAAGGATGGTAGGGGTGGGCGTTCATCCCCCCACGGTATGGCAGATGGTTGGAGAGCTGAGGATATAGCTTGTCTGGTGGTCCTGGAAAACTGGTACCTTTTGAAGACTGAGCATGTGAAGTGATAGTGAAGTTGAGTTTAAACTTCTATTTATAACAGTCAAGTGGGAAGTTTGATTCTTTGCCGTTGTCGCATCCGACTGACTTGCTATATAATCTTATATATGACACTTTGTATATCAACACATGAGTCACTGGCGTATTAAAATTGGACTTCTGTGCTTGAAGGCATAATGTTTTTCAATAGCTGGCTAATATTTACTGGTTGGGTAATAATCTTTTCAGAAGTCAAATGGCTATATATATATATATATATTTTTTTTTTTTTCCCAATTGCCAACACCAAATTTTATAAGACTTAAAAGCGATGTCACCACTTAGTAAAACTGTATATGGACTGTTAGTAATTGGCTTTACTTTAAGCCATGAATAACATTTTGTTGTAATCTTAACTAGACTAAATTCACAAGTGTGGCCATTCCCAGTGGCCATTTTGTTGATTGAATTCAACAGTGTTTATGGCTGGAGCTGCTGCTCTGCTGAACACATTCCAGCAAACAATCTGTTAAATGATGGATCGCATGTGTACTGCTAAGAGAAGGTGAGGGTTCAGTTTTATTGCATAGCTTTGGAGTTTTGGCTGAGAAATAAGTTTCCTTGCTGGGAAATAAGGTTGAAGACACAGCAGATGCGTTGTGGAGGCACTTTGAAGTGGAAGGTTTTGGTGTAGTTGTTTAAGCTGTTGATGAAATTGTTGGAGTTGTAGTTGTTTGAAATGGTAGTAATAGTAGTTGTTGCTGTAGCTTGTAGATTGAAGCTTGTAGATTGAAGTTTGTAGATTGTATATTGTAGATTTTAGCTTGAGATTAATGCTTGTAGATTGAAGTTTGTAGATTAAAGCTTGTAGATTAAAGCTCGTAGCTTGTAGCTTTTGTAGCGTACCATTTGTAGCTTTTGTAGTTGATGAGCGGAGCAGAGCGTTCTTCCAAACTAAGATCCTTGTAGATTGTAGCTGCTTTGGTTGTCCATGCTGGTTTAAAGTTGGTTCTTCAACGGAGCTAGCTATGGTGAAGCTGCTACTTCCAAACAAAGATAAAATGAGCTGGAAACTGTGGTTATTTATAGTAGCTTAGGGCTTATATGATTGAAAGATAGTGATGAGCAAATACGGGACCGGCCGTGATAAATCATAAGCATGTGATCCTCTCGAAATTAGTTTATGAATAAACCTCACTCATTATTATGCAGTGTTAAAATTCTTGATTCTGATTGGCATTTTTCCTAAAGCATTAGTCTATATAATCAATATGCTGTCCCTTTCAATTTTAATTCATTCATTTAAACACACTAAAACAATTCATTCTAGAGAAACACTGAAAAAAATCTTGCTGTCTTAATTTTTTTATTTGAAGCAAATTAACTTTTCTAGTCATCTCAACTTACATCAATCAAACTGACTAAATATATGAAGCTAACCTAAAAATAACTTAAAGTTGAATAAAGTTGAAACCTGATTATCTTTAAATAATACATTAAAGCAACATACAATTGTTGTCTTGACCTTTGTCATTACATTTTATTACAGTAAAGTACTTATAAAAATGAAAAATAAGAACAAACCCTGAGTGCTGGGTTAAACATTGGGTTAAACCAATAAATAACCTATCTATTGGGTTAGTCTATATTTTACCTAACTCTGTTGAAACAACTCATTATTATCAACATACATATTTAAATAAACTTATGAAATATTATTGTTCCTCTCTCTCTGTTTTCAAAATATTCTTCTACTGTTTTTCAGAGCAGTACCATCTAAACAACGCTGGCTTTTCTTTTGGTGCACCGGCTGGACTCTCTCATCCTCAAAGCAACCTCAGCATACCAGGCCTTGCACTCAACAAATACAACTCTCTGAAAGCAGTTGGTAAGAGCACTGACATGATACTATGCACAAGACCAAAAAAAAAATAAAAAAATTCACAGATGTTGAATTATTTCATGCTCTGCCGGACAGCCTAAACAACAGTCCCTAAATGTGACTGACAGAATCAGGGAAGCCCTCTGGTCTGAAAGGACAAAGTCAGAACACCACAAGGTTACTCTGTGTCACCTCTGCTACTCAATTTAACATCCCACTGCTGCTGGCTACACAGTTGGACTGAAAACATTCAACTGTTTAGTCAGATTTACACACAGAATCAACACAGCACAAAAGGTGTTGGTCATCTTCTGCAACACTCACTGGATTCTTACTTTCAACAGAAGTTTATATTGGCAAAGGAAGTGAAGTGTTTAAGTTCTGTCAGGTAGAATTTCTTACATTCTTGCTTACATTACATCTTCATTCAGACTGATGCTCTCTATCAACATCATTCTAGATGCAGGATATTTATCTTTGAAGGGCAAACAGTAGTGACCTTCAAACACAAAATAATATTGCAATAAATCTATTTTTTTTTAATGTACCACATTTGCAATTCATACATACATTTATATTCAATTATTTGTCACATGCTTTTATCCAGAGTGACATAAAAATGCCCTCCCACTTCCAAAGAAGCAATCAAAGCAAAGAAAGAACAACTATTTGTAAATAAGAGTATAAAGGAAGATAGAACAGAAATAGTTTTTTGTTAGAAAGTCCGATTTAGGGGTTTTTAAAAATAAAATGAATAAAAAAAGAGATTGTTAGTGTTGAAAGATCAATGCTATTTTTTTCATATAAATGTATGAAAAGTAGAACAGATAAGCGTGTTAGCATAGTAAAGTCGGAGTTCTTTTTATATTATAAATGAAGTAGAAAATTGTATAGTTAGAAACAGAAGGTTATTTTGACAAAAAGATGAATCTTTAGCTGATTATTGAGGAATCTGAATAGCTGATTATTAAGAAAGAGTGTTAAAACTGCACGTTAAAGGGTTAGTTCATCCAAAATAAAACTTACCTCATCATTTCTTTTCCTTGTGTGGTTTTAAACCTTTCAGATTTTCTTTCTTCTGTTGAACACAAAAGAAGATATTTTGAAAAATGCTGCTGGTTGCAAACAAATTGCTAGGAACTTGAATTTTTTTCTTTGTGCTCAAATAGGTTTTGAACAATGTAATGGTGCGTAAATGATGCTAGAATTTCCATTTTTGGGGGAACTAACGTCCTGGTTACATGCATAACCCACGTTCCCCAAATAGGGAACGGAGACGTGTGTCTGTATTAAACAGACTTTAGGAGTGTTTTAGACGACCAATAACTTCTGAAGATATGAAAACGAGTCAATGAAATGCCAACTGAATTGGCAGAGCTTAGCTCCACAGCTGAAACTAATGAACCAATTGACCCTTCGCTAAGCCACACCCAAAAACCGACACCCACCAATCGTGGCTTAGCAACTGTAGTCACGCGCAAGGACTCTGTCAAGCTTTCGAGCGAGTGCATATGGATTGTGCAAATCTGATATCCGGTATCCTTAAAGTTTGGACGGGATGGTGGAATTTTTTACCTTTAAAAAAATAAAAACCCAAGAGGAGAAATGCCAACGTGGATCAAGCTGTGTGAGGGGCGCTAAAGGAGCGGAGCTAAGCTGGTTTTGTTTTTATATTCCTGACACATTGAGTGATAGACAGACGGCAATAACTCACACACCTCTAACCCTAAACAGATTTAAACTGTGTTTTCTACAAAAACACAAAGCTGGTTATGTTTCACAGCAGTCTTATTCCCTTTTTTCGCTCGACATTATGAGTAATGCTCCTTTTAAGCCTTCGCCATAACATTAGTAACTTAGTCATACTAATAGCAAATCATAATAACATAATGACATGAGTTATTGATCTGGAAATTATGAATCTGCGAATCTGTTGCTAACTTTACTGAACTTCATATTACCATCTATTTCAAGCTACGGATATTTGAAACTACAAATCAACAGAACAAAACCGAGATATGATCACAAACTGAGCAGCTGCGATCAATATACTTTACCAGAAGCTGTTTTTCAGTCATTTTTGAAGATTACACAAGCATACTGACAGTTATAGGTAACTTACTGTACATTGTTAGGGGTCAATGATGCTAATATTCGGCACAAATCCACCAGTTTCCCTTTCTGGCTGTTCTTTCTATGACTGAACTATGTAAAAGCACTGTCATGCATGTTTCCTCGTCGGTTAGTAACGCTATATTTTATTGCACAACAATTAATCTATCAGGCTTTTTGGCTAAAAATAGAGAAATCTGACACCTGCGCACACACATTGAAAAAGACGTGCCAGGCACGAAAGATTGACAGGCGTAGCAACAGTAACTAGGAAAGGCGGGGCTTAGCGAAGGGTCCATTAGGGCTATATCAGTCGGCTGAAGGGAAACTTACTAGTAAAGCAAAAAAAGCTCACGCATTTCCGGTTTAGGGAGCCTGGAGCAGCAAACATTTGTGACACCGAGATTAATTCCCCCCGATTGATTGCAGGTTCACCACATGATTTCTAATTGGGGTGGTAGAAACCTGAAATAACGCCAATGCGATTAGCAGAGCTGTCTTTATTGACAGAATTTTAAGAGATACCGAATCGAGTGGCTCGAACGGATCTCTCTGCAGACCCGCTCGGACTATAGAGAGATCCCAAAAGAGCATGAGAGGGGGGTGAGACGGATTTAACCCTGCGCGCCTCTGAGGAATTGAATGATTAGATCATGCTTCCCGAGCGTGTTGCCATCCACTGCGTCATTATGAGCGGAGATCGCAGTCATGTAAATCTTAAGCGTGGAGGGAGACAGCTCAGCTTATCCTGAAGGAAGGATAACACAATGCTAATCTGGCAAGTTCGGGGGTCTTCTCGGCGAGAAGCGCACCACTCAGAGAATAGACTCCACTTCAGGGCATAGGCAAGCATCGTAGAGGGTGCTCTAGCCTGAGCAATGGTGTTAAGTACCGCGGGCGGTAAGTCACCTAAGTCTTCCGCGCTCCTTTTATGGACCACACGTGGAGGTTCCAGAGATCTGGGTGTGGGTGCCAGATGGTGCCCCGTCCCTGAGAGAGGAAGTCCTCCCTTAGGGGAATGAGCCAAGGAGGGGTCGCCACGAGCAGTGTGAGCTCCGAAACCCAGGTCCGGGTGGGCCAGAGGGGAAAAACAAACAAGACCTGTTCTTCGTCCTCCCTGACTTTGCACAAAGTTTGTGCGATTAGGCTCACTGGGGGAAACGCATATTTACGCATACCCGATGGCCAGCTGTGAGCCAGTGCATCTGTGCCAAGGGGGGGCCTCGGTCAGGGAATAAAACAGTTGGCAATGTGTGTTCTTGATGGAAGCAAACCTTCGATCTGGGCTTCCCCAAAGTGCGCCCATATCAGCTAGACTGAATCGGGGTGGAGTCTCCACTCCCCTCAGGACACTAGCTGCCGTGAGAGTGCATCGGCTGCTTAGTTGAGCTTGCCCATAATGTGGATGGCACGCAGCAATTTCAGCCACGTGGGACTCCAAAGGAGCGGACGGCGAGCGAGCTGAGACATGCGGTCGGAACTTATACCGCCCATACGGTTGATATAAGCCATTGTCGCCATGCTGTCTGTCCTGACCAGCACGTGTTTCTGCTCCAACACTGGTAAAAAGTGGGGGAGAGCCAAGTATACTGCCAACAGCTCCAGGCAGTTGATATGCCAATGCAGGCGGGGTCCAGACCACGAACCTTCGGCTGCATGCTCGTTGCACACGGCCCCCCACTCCGTGCTGGAGGAATCTGTCATTACAACATGCCTGGATACTAGCCCTAGGGGCACTTCGGCTCGTAGAAAAGCCAGAACCATCCAGGGGCTGATGGTGCAGAGACACAGCGGAGTGATGCACACCTGGTGCGTACCCACAGCGCCATGTCCGTCTGGGGACTCGATCGCGAAGCCAACGCTGAAGTGGTCTCATATGAACCAAACCGAGCAGAGTAGCCGCGGCTGCGGATGCCATATGCCCCAGGAGCCTCTGAAAACATTTCAGTGGGACCACTATCTTCCTGTGGAGCTCGTTTACACAGAAAAGCATCAGCCTGCCGCGCTCTTGGGAGAGCTGCGCAACCATAGGGACTGAATCCAGCTCCAGTTCAAGATAAGAGATCCTCTGCACAGGGCAAAGTTTGCTCTTTTCTTGGTTGACCAGAAACCCGAACTGGTTGGGGTGCTGAAGCACTTTGTCTCTGTGCATAATCAGCTGATCGCGAGACGAGGCTAGAATGAGCCAGTCGTCGAGATAGTTGAGTATGCGGATGCCCGCGAGCTGCAGTGGCGCTAGGGCACCCTCCGCGAGCTTGGTGAAAACCCGCAGAGACCGAGAGAGCCCCAAGAGGAGGACTTTGTATTGCCATGCTCATCCTTCGAACGTGAACCGGAGGAAAGAGCAGTGGAGTGGAAGAATGGAGACGTGAAAATGTGCGTCCTTCAGGTCTATGGCTGCAAACCAATCCTGTGGACGGACACTCAGAATCAAGCGTTTCTCCGTAAACATTCTGAAAGGCATTTTGTGTAAATGACAGTTCAGTCTGAGCAGATCTAGGATTGGCCTTAACCCCCAGCTCTTTTTGGGCACGATGAAATACGGGCTGTAAAACCCGGACCTCATCTTGGCTGGAGGGTCCTGCTGGATTGCATCCTTCGCCAGGGGGACAGCAATCTCCTCTCGCAAGACAGGGGCGCTCTCTGGGATAACCCTTGTGTAAAGGACACCCGTGAACTTGGGAGGGCGAATAGCGAATTGTATCGCATAGCTGAGTCTGATCGTCCGTAAGAGCCACCTCGACACACTGGGCAGCGCTAACCAAGCCGACAGAGTGCGCGCTAATAGCACCATTGGAGCGATCACTGACGTGCCAGCGGAGAGGCAGCTTGGGACGGGAGTGCTCATCCCAGGAAGCAGTGCGTCCCAAGGAAGAGCTGAAAATAAGAGAATCTCTCTTACCTTCCTCCCTGGATCCCGCGGTGAGGCCGGAGTGAGAGAAAGGAATCCGTTCTGCTACACTCTGAGGGCCTGAGGCAAAATGTCCCAGCACTGTGAGCTGGAAGGTTATTATAGTTAACGAAAATGCACAAAAAAACTAAAACTAAAATGTAAAGTAATTGTCATTAACTAAAATAAAAATAAAAATAAGTTTTTAAAAAAACTAGAACTAACTGAAAGTGTATTGTGTACTGAAACTAGCTAAAATTATAGCAAAAACCTCTTTCGTTTTCGTAACTGTATGTAATGCATAATCTTGCTGTAAGCCTTTTAGAAGTAAATATAATCCGCGCTGTAGGTGTTTTTGTTTGACCCTTTCGCACCTCAGTCTCCTGCTGCCAATGGCCAGATCGAGCCGGTTCTTTTCTAGTCATCTTCGCTGTTTCTCCCGCAACAAAAACAACGAGTGGACATGACAGCAGCACGGTGAAAGCATCAAATACAGAGACTTAAAACTATTTCTTTAACACATTTGTGCCCGATAATGGGTTTTATTTCTGTATCGCGATCGCGAACTAATCTTTTTAACCGGACCTTCTAAGTAAACCGGTTAAACTAGTTCACCAAATCGAACTGAATCATTTGAAACAAATGGTCTCCAGTAAGCACTAATCCACCAACTACTTACTTTATAACAAGCCTAATACCCCCTCTGACTCTAAATAATCCAATATATACTTTCATGCATTTATTAGAACAGTAACGTTACATTGAGAAGCAGTGAACCGATAACACATGCGTGATTCAGTGAACCAAACACAAAGTCCAGTCTGCTTTGTGACTAAACTGAACTGGAACAACTGCAGCGTGGGTAAACCAAGGGCTAAAATGAGAGGATCTGGTGAAAAACGTAAGTTTATTTCATAACAGACAATCGTAATAGAATTTAAATAAGTGAATCATGATTCAGTCATTCGTTCATTTTCCTTTGGCTTAGTCCCTTATTTATCTGGGGTTGCCACTGTGGAATGAACCGCCATCTATTCCAGCATATTCAATTCACCTGTACCACATGTCTTTGAACAGTGGGGTAAAGCAAAGCACCCGGATGCATTTTAATAAGACCTTTTTCCACACGTGACCTCTAAATGTGAAACTGCCATTCAATTGACAAAAACAGGCTGTGCTTAAATCCTCAAACTCCAGTTACTGTTCTTGTTCACTCAAGCTGGCGATTGGTTAAAAAACAGCAAAACAATAAACAGCCCTACTTGTATTTTGCCAAAGAATGACTTATTTTAAAATGTGAGCCGTGGCCCTGAGAGGTGCTTTTGTTGTCCTTTTACTTTCAGGCAGAAGCATTAGCCTGCCCTACATACTGGGAACACGTTAAGCCAATAGTGTCTAGATCACAATGATTCAGTGGCATAATGACGCACACACTATTAGCTACCTTCACATACGGATGCATCTCTATCTGAAAATTACCACACAAAGATCTGATGCCAGGATGGTCTGCAATGAACTCTGCGTAATGAGGATGATGATGATGATGATGATGATGATTATGACGATGATGATGATGATGCACACTGACATTGCAGCCTATGGAAGAAACTCGAAGATTTTCAGATGTCATCTACTTGAATCACCTTGTAGCAAAAAGAAAGTAATGACTGAGAAAAGAGGCTTGGTATATAACTTGATGACAATGTTAGTTGAAAGAATGCCATCAGACATCAGTTTTACAAATTTGATACTGGATTTGACCTAAAGATTTCTTTTTCATGTGAGTGATTCAGGCTTGTAAGCCAATTTACAAAATGTCCCCTGACATATGCACATATACTGCACACCTTCTATAACATACTTCTATACAAGAACAAGCAGAACAAGTGCAGCTTGCAGACATTAATGTGGTGAGACAGAGCTAGCAGCTCACAAAATAAAATACCGTGAGAAGAGAGATAACTCGCGTCCGAGACATGACCTTTAAACATTTCAGCCAACATAAAGTCAGTGTTTAATAAAATGGACAAGCTCTCAGCAGACATCTCAACAGGAATATACACACTGCTGCTTTATGTGCTTCATCAAAACATGACTGAAATTCGATACAAGTAGCTCATGGGTGCAGTAGACAAATTTAAGATAATGCACGTTACATGCCATTTATTAGAAAATAATGTAAAAAAAAAAGGAGTCAATTTATGTAAAAGTGATAATATTTATGTATATTATGTATATTACACATTCGTCTTTGTAAAAGTGTAAACATTACAATTTCTTGTACCCAAATTTTTAAAAGAAGAAAATTACTTTTAAATCGCAGAAAGTAAAAATAATACAAATAAAAACAGTACGAAGCAATTACTTGATGAGTGCAAATCATTACCTTTTTGAACAATAGCATTGACAAGATTGACACACCAAAGAAGTTTCGTTAAAAACCGCAAACGCGCAGGGCAAACTACAGCACTCTACTCTTTTATATTGCAGGCCTTAAAAATCAAAAATCCTATTAGATTATTGTTACAATTCACAGCGACTCCACAAATCATATGTACTTAACTGTGATTCCTGGGTGCTTTTAATCCTAACATGACATTGCAGATATGACTATAATAATATGCGTACACTTTGATATTGATGCTGAAACGATATATTGTGCAGTTCTAATTCAATCCTTAAAATAAAAAAATGATGGCAATACAAGATGATAGTGGATAAATTAGCTTTTTTAGTTTGTCTTCTAAACATTTACATTCCATACGTTTTAACTGAGGACTTTTTGGTTAGGACTCACAAAACGTTCACCTTCCACTTTCACTTTCAACGATACTGCTTGAGGCTAATAGCAGGTTTGGCATGCTGTCCCGGGAGAGAACCCAGAGATTGGAGATAATTGAGCCCAGGGCTCCAATAAGTGTAGAAGGGTGTCCGAGGTTAGGTAGGTCCCAAGAGATCCCCCTGGTAAAGGGAGGAAAAAAGAGGAGATGGGGTGGAAGGGGGGATTTTTCCAAAATAAAGATAAGGGCAAAATCGGTCTATTAATTGTAAGCTTGAATCACTCTGATTGGATTATTGCTGATTAAAGATGAAAGACCAGCCACAACCAATCATATCACAAGCTCCTTTAGAAATTAGATTGTGAAACTTCACTTAAATGCCAGTGAAGGCTGTACTAATTCCTCAGAAAAATAACAAATCTAGCTGAGATTCAGTTATATTATAGGTGAAATATGCATGTAAACTTTTGATTGTCTCCATAACAACTGCCGTTTTTTTTCCTCCCTAACAGCTGACACTGCAAACCGGAGCTACTACAAGAGTTATCCACTGATGGACTTCTCCCAGCATCATTCCCCTCCTGTAGCTTTCCAGCCAATGCCGATGCACCCAAAAGACAAGTCCTACCTTCACCAGGTCCTCCCTTCCCATGACATTCACTCTCCTCTTTCCATCTCGATCCCAACCAACCATATGGAGAGGACCCGCATCCCTAAAACCATCACCCACCCTCAACTGTCCAGCTCGGCCTTTAAAGCTTGGGATTCTGGGCAAAGACACGTCCACCGGCAGACCTCACATCCAGGGCACCTGCCGCGACGACAAACCTACAGCAGCAGAAGACAGTACAGCATAGAAACAATACCAGATTTCCTTTCCCAGCCTACAGGCTATGGGGGACAACCACTGTATCAGCACCATCCCAAAATTAAGGCCTACCAGACCAACAGCAAAACAGAGGTCACAGTTTGAGGACTCAGATAACTGTATGCACCAACAATACCATGTCCAGAAAGTGTGGTTGTTCTTACTGTCATTGCTAAACCACTTTTTTCTAAGTTTCTTGTTTTTTTTCTGTGTCCCACTTTTCTGGGTTCATCTAAGGCCTTTGTGACGCTGACAACAATGAGGTGAGCTTTCAGACCGGAACGGAAGAATGGCACCTGAGGTCACATTAAATTAAATAGGACAACACCATCAACACATCAGCCTAAATCTAATTATCCTGGCCATTTTTATGTAAACACAACCTCAGGATCAATTATGTGAAGTACGAAGAGACAGAATGCAACACCTAGACATCTAGTCGGTGAGGCAGTGGCGGGGTAGGTAGTGCTGTCGCCTCACAGCAAGAAGGTTGCTGAGTGCTGGTTCGAACCTCGGCTCATTTGGCGTTTCTGTGTGGAGTTTGCATGTTCTCCCTGCCTTCGCGTGAGTTTCCTCTGGGTGCTCCGGTACAGGATGTGGTACAGGTGAATTAGGTAAGCTAAATTGTCCGTAGTGTATGAGTGTGTGTGTGTGCGTGTGTGGATGTTTCGCAGAGATGGGTTGCGGCTGGAAGTGCATCTGCTGTGTAAAAACTTGCTGGATGAGTTGGTGGTTCATTCCGCTGTGGCGACCCCGGATTAATAAAGGGACTAAGCCGACAAGAATATGAATGAATGAGTGAGACATCTAGTCTTGCACTAGGATTCAAGCTTTGCTAAGAGTGCTGAGGTTTTTTGGGGTGAAAACAAATTAAAGGGTCTTTCACACTGGTTTGGGCAGTCTCATTTTAAGAAAGTTCCCATTAAATAACTCATTTGTTTTAAGAAAATGAGGACAAAGTACACGGCATAATAATCCAGTAAGGGTTACAATCACCTTTGTGCAACCATGAGCCAGTAATAATGAGGCAAACTTGACAATAAATCTGATAAAGCACCATAAGATGCTAAACGGACATTCCTAAAATGCTATAAACTGTCTTGATACATTTCTTTTTACATTTGTTTTGGGACAAAAAAAGCAAAGTCGGATTGGATTGGGAAAATACTGCAAACTGGGAATCACTGGAAGTAACCTAAAGCACAGCTACACAACATGCCATAAATTGTTGCACACATGGCTTTCAGATCCTTCCTCAATGTACTTCTGTGAAAATATAAGCGAAAAAGGTCTTGTTTTATGGGTTTTGATGGTTCTCATTTAAATCTCATATGCAGAGGACATCAATTGTACACCTTTTTATTTAAAGCTCTTGTTTGCTTAAGAGTCTGATCTCCTCTGTTTGTCAAGACTGCGTGTGGAGTCCTAGCTGTCAAGTTTTACAAATTGTTGACCAAGGATGATTTCCTCATGACGTGAGGCTGAAGAAATGACGCCAGCAGCTTTGTGCAATAATCTGGTCATTGGAAGTGGGAATGAAACACATAACTCTTATAAAATAACCTATGCAATGGCAAAAATATCAGCTCTAGCAAATTAATCATCCTTGATGTCAAGATCACACAAGGTCTCTCATTGCATTATGTACCTTTTACTTGTCTGTCTTTCCTTTTCCTTGGATAAATGGAGAGTAAATTTCCAGACATGTTATGTATTTAAATAGACGCACAAGATCAAACCATCTGCTGTAGGATCAGGAGATTCAGATACACAGGGTAGCAGGATTGGGAAATCTAAAATGCTTTAAAGGGGAAATCATTGTTACACCACTTTACACACATACAGTATACTGTTACTTGTTTATCTGTTGCATAAAAGCAATATCACACTTACATTCGTGCTGTGACATTGAATATCAGCAGAGTTGTGAGGCCTTGTGCTTACATTCAGACCAACAGCATACTTGCTATAGTGTGATATTTCTTAAACGTTTGTAGTATTGAAAATGTGCGTAAAAATGTGCTTCCTTATTAGTTCCTGTACTGCGTTGTGCTTTGCTTTTATTCAACCCTGATATTCATATGAACTTGACAACCTTTCTGTTTTATTATATTTATATTACGCATATGAATTATATTTCTGTGTTCATGTACATAAAGTTATTTAAGAATTATATAAGAGTCTGATTTAATAATTACACAGATGCTGTGTTCAGAAATGTTTTAAGATGTCTTAAATACGAGTGTTTGTACGTTGGTAATGCCTGCAGTATTGTGGAAAAACAGTGATATTCATAAACTAGTTGTATAAGGGCTTTTGGCAACAATTTGAAGAACTGAAAATTACTCAAATTTATTTTGATAAAATATATTTTATATTCACATTTTGGCTAAATAAAAGATTACAAAAAAAAAACTAAACTTGTTGTAAAACAAATGAAATCGACGTTTAACGAGTTTTCACATGTGGATTTGTACCTCAAATGTATGTCACTTTTCAAAATAAAAGTTCTCAAACGTCGAAATGCTGTGTATTTTATACATTTTACATTTTTAATATGTAGGTAATTTCCAACAAACTACTTACCAGACAGCTGGGTTATGAAAGAAGCTTATATCGTATCACTTTAATATTTACAGCGCATGCCAATTTCTGGCCTGAAGAACTCTAGCGCCATCTGATGGTCACCAATAACAGAAACAGCACAGAGATTTTACCAACTTATATTTTTGTCCTATATCGTTATACATGTGTTATTAAATGTAATATGTTTAATAGCAATGTTTCGTTAATTAAAAAAGTTGTAATACATACATAGCCTATTTTTAATATTAAAATTAATTATTTGACAAAACAATTTCAATGTCTTTTTCCCTAAAAAACGAAATCCCTTGAGAAGAGAGTATTTATTTACTCCCACACTACATATTTACAGCAGTCAAGAAAGCCATAAAGTTACCCTCAATGAGGACATCTAACAAAACAAGTATTCCAATAAATGCCTCTAAGGACTTTTGCAGACATCACACAGAAATAAAGTAAAACAGGTTAGCAATAAGTGAAGCTGTTGATGCTGTTTGTGGATTGGTTTAAAGTTCCTGTTGAGCTAAGATTGAGATATTTCAGTTTTCAGATGAGCCAGGAGTGTCTAAACGTGGGACTGGAGGGTGTCTTGCATAGTTTAGTTCCAGCCCCAAATAAACACACCTGAACCAGGTAATCAAGCTCTATGTACACTATACCTTCCAGGCAGGTCTGTTGAAGGAAGTTGGAGCTAAACTATGCAGGACACCGTCCCTCAAGGATTGAGTTTGGGCACCCTTGATCTAGGGCTATCTCCACACATATTTGTAATGTGCATGTATTTTTGTAAATGAAAAAGGATGGAAAAGACTCTGAAGCTTTTGAAAATCTTGATCCTGACAAGAATTTTCAAATGTTTTGAGAACAGCAGAACTTAACGTTGTGACTCACTGAAGTCAGTTGTAGTTTTGTATTTTTTTTTCAATGATTCTACTTGTTAACAGCAGGAGTACATCATTAAAATTCATGCTGCACTTTTACTCTGCTCCAGTGTTATTTTAACTCTGTTTGTGGGAGTAGGACCAGCTAAATTAATTTTATTCTAAGGATTTTGCTGTGCATCAAAAAGTCAAAAGATATTAGTTTAAGGGGGTAAGTTAATTTTAGATGGGGTATTATGAAAGCAAAAAATAGTAAACAAGACCAATAATCTTGATTTATTAACACATTATTCCCCAATAAGCCATAATTTATGTACTTACAAGGTATTTGCCCACCAGCAGCTATAGTTACTGCTTTTGACTTTGACTTTTGACAAAGTATACAAAAAAACTGTAGATCACTTGACAGATTAATTTTGTATGGATGAATCTAGAGACCTTCATGATTATGTTAGTTGACTTCCACCGTATTGGTGTTCCTACTATGGATGTCAATGTGGTTGTTTTCCCCCAACATTCTTTAGATTAGCTTGTTTTGTGTTCATCAGAAGACAGGAATTCATAGAATTTTAGAACCACTTGAGTGTGAGAAAAGAACAAGGACATGTTTCCACCATTTAGGCGGAAAAAAAATCAAGGGATTTCTTTTCTGAGTGTTCCTGACAACAGATTTTGGTCTATAAACTTTAGTTCAACTGGCTGACATTTTAGTTGGTGTCTTATAAGATTGTAAAACTTGTCATTTCCGCCAGAGCGGAATTTAATAATTGTAAGGTATTTATTTTAACCCAAAAACACAAACACAGCAGCGTCTATCTATATCTTAACACATATAGACAATCATACATTTGTACCAGAATAAGCTGCTGTCATTAAAGGCATGTTAAATGCACAAAAATATGACGTGCATTTATTTATTTTTACATTTACTATTATGACATTCTAAACAACTGTTAACCCACTTTTACTTAATGGTCCAACTAGAGCTTCACAATAAGTAAAAAAAAATAATACATTTGGCAAAAAACTAATATACTGTATGTATATGTATGTATATATATGTATATATATATATATATATATATATATATATATATATATATATATACTGCCGGACAAAAGTCATGTCGTCAATCGTCAATCCCAGTTGACTTCTAGTTGATCATTTTAAAAAGTGGATTTTTCAGATGAATCATCTGTTGAACTGCATCACAATCATCACAAATACTGCAGAAGACCTATTGGAGCCTGCATGGGCCCAAGATTCTCACAGAAACTTACAGGTTTGGTGAAGGAAAAATCATGGTTACATTCGGTATGGGGTATCGGAGACAATGCTTCATTCTAGAACTGTGCCCGTGAAATTTCGGAACGGTGGAATAAATGCCCATAATCTTAAAGAACTGAAGTGTGCGAAGCAGTGGCGCAGTAGGTAGTGCTGTCACCTCACAGCAAGAAGGTCGCTGGGTGCTGGTTCGAACCTCGGCTCAGTTGGCATTTCTGTGAGGAGTTTGCATGTTCTCCCTGCGTTCGTGTGGGTTTCCTCCGGGTGCTCTGGTTTCCCCCACAGTCCAAACACATGCTGCAGGTGAATCAGGTAGGGTAAATTGTCCGTAGTGTATGAGTATTAGGGTGACAGGCCCAAACGACAGGCCGGCCGGATTGTGTAAAAAAAGTCGTTATCATATATGTATGGACAAGTCTAAATGGAGGACTTGTTTCAAAGAGCCGACCCCGCAACCATTCGGGACTAAGGCCTAAGAAGAAGAAGAATCTTAAAGAACCGGAGTACGTTCCCAATCGTACACTCTCACATCTGACACTCTCTTCTACCAATCTCTCCAACTCTTGATGTTGAAAGTTTTAGGATGGCGCTAATAAATGCCAGATCTATTTCAAACAAGTCGTTTTTATTAAATGATTTTATTTCCAACAAAGATGTGGACATTTTGTGCATAACTGAAACTTGGCTTAGTGCTGGTGACTCTGACTGCCTATTGGAAGTTTCTTCAACAGACTTTAACTTTTTAAGCACTCCCCGTCTCTCTGGCAGGGGTGGGGGAGTCGCTGCTATATTCAAAAATATGAAATGTCGCTCGCTGGCAGTTCAGGACTACTCCAGTTTTGAGTTGCAGCTGGTTAAAATAGACAGCTGTTTTGCGATTATTTGTGCTCTCATACAGACCTCCAAAATACAATAAAATGTTTATTCAGGAGTTTTCAGTTTTTAACTACAATTGTACCAAGGTTTGGTAAAATCTTAATACTTGGTGATTTTAATTTGCATATTTACTGTCCCAAAGAGCGTATGATGAAGGAATTTTGACAAATTATTGATTCATTTAATCTAACTCAATCTTTCTCAAAGCCTACTCATAATTTTGGACATACCCTAGATTTGGTACCATCTTTAGGGATATCTATCTCAAATATAGACATTGAAGAGGGTTTTTTGTCTGATCACAATCCAGTTGTTTTTAATATTCAAATTCCCAGTCCCTTTTTAAATAACAAACCACCTGACCGTCGTGTTCGTTGCCTGAATCCTTCATCGGCCAGTGATTTTATTAAGGCTTACTCACTATTTCCATCTCTGCCTTTTGCGTTGAAAATAAATGAGACAGCGTCAATAATTAAGGAGCTGTGTGCTCCTTTGAAAATTTTAAAACCTATAGCCAGACGACAACCATGGCTAAATGGTGATACCCGTATAGCATTCGTCAGCTATGGAGAAAATCTGAGAGAACATGGAAGAAAACTAAACTACAGGTGCATTATGATATTTTAAAAGACTCTATGATTAAATATCAGAAGGCAGTTAAAGCTGCAAAAACAGAATATTTTGCTTATCTCATAAGAAAGGCTCCAAATAATCCCAGAGTTCTTTTAAAAACAATTAACTTTGCTTTAAACACTGAGACTATGTCTGGTCTTGCTATTTGCCAGACAACATGCGAAAAGTTTTTAGAATTCTTTATTAGTAAAATTGAAGGCCTTAGAGCTGGGATTCCGCCTCAAGACAATTTCCCTGACTGTACCATCCCACCTTCACTAGCACACTATTTGGATGAATTTAAACCAATTACGTTACTCGATTTGGTGGTTTTGGTCCTCAATATGAAGCCCTCCCATTGTTCAATGGATATTTTCCCTCCACATCTTTTCATTCAGGTATTGAAGGGGGTTGGATTAGACCTTCTATCAATAGTGAATTCTGGTTTGCTGAGTGGAGTCGTACCATCTTGTTTTAAGCATGCTGTACTACAACCCCTTTTAAAAAAGCCCAATCTGGATTTATCCGATTTAAAAAACTATCAACCAATTTCAAAATTGTCTTTTCATTCCAAAATCTTAGAGAGAGTTGTCTTTCAACGGCTTTCTACTCACTTAATTGGAAATGTCAATCTTTATAAATTTCAATCTGGTTTTAGGACACTGCATAGCAGCTCTCCTTAAAGTGTCTAATGATATTTTTCTGACTGTTGATTCTGGAAAATGCACACTTCTAATTTTACTAGACCTGACTGCGGCATTTGACACAATTTATCACAATACCTTTATTGAGTGTTTAAGATTGTGGGCTGGGATTCGAGGAAATTTTTTGAATTGGTTTAGTTCTTATCTCTTAGGGAGAACCTTTTCTATTGAATTGGGAAATTTTTCTTCCTCTCCTGCACGTTTGGAGTATGGTGTTTCCCAAGGTTCAATTTTGGGCCCAGCTCTTTTCTCCTTCGACATGCTTCCCTTGGGGGCTATTTGTAAGAAGAATAATGTAAGCTACCACCTCTATGCTGATGATACTCAGCTTTACTTGCCCATTAAAAAGGGGAGAAAATTATGTTTTACAGCACTTGTTTTAACGACATTAAGGAATGGCTGGCTGGTAATTTTTTATATTTAAATGAATCAAAAACTGAAATACTTGTGTTTGGCGCTGCGAGTGTCTGTGAATCTACAATTAATCAATGAGTTTCGATCAAGCAAGGTCCACAGTCACACAAAAAATCTTGGGAGTTACTTTTGACACTGAGTTAAAGATCGACAAGCAAATAAATTAAGTCGTCAAAAGTGGTTTCTATCAATTCAGGAACATTGCCTAATTGAAGCCTTTTCTGTCTTCTAAAGAGCTGGAAACCATCATTAATGTTTTTATTATGTCCAGATTGGACTATCGTAACTCTTTGTATTGAGGAGTTTCGTAGGCATCAATGCACACCTGCAGCTGGTTCAAAATGCAGCAGCTAGGATTTTAACTGGGACAAAAAAAAATTCTAGTATCTTACCAGTTTTATCATCTCTTCACTGGCTCCCAGTCCAATTTAGGATTCAATTCAAGTTATTTCTACTTGTTTTTAAAAGTTTGAATGGTCTGGCACCTATTTACATTTCTGAGCTTTTTCACTGGCACACTTCATTGAGGCCAATCAGGTAAAAAAAAACAAGTTTCAGCTAGTTGTCCCCAAAACACGGTTGAAATCAAGAGGTGACAGGGCTTTTTCTGCTGCAGCCCCCCGACTGTGGAATGGTCTGCCTTTACATGTCAGGTCATGTTCTTCACTTGGTGCTTTTAAGTCTCATCTAAAAAATCACCTTCTGTCTCTTGCCTTTTGATTGTAATTAAATAATTTTAATCTGTTTTATAGGTTTTGCTTATTTTTATATATAGGTATAAATTTTGTATGCTGGTCTTTTTGTAAAGCACTTTGGTCAACATCTGTTGCTTTTAAATGTGCTCTATAAACAAAGCAAGCAAGCAAACAAGCAAACAAACAAACAAACAAACAAACAAACAACAATACTGAGCATCTCTGGGGTAAGTTGGAGGCGGCATTGAAGATGAATCCAAAGAATCTTGAAAGACCAAATGATCAACCAGAAGTCAAGTCAATATTTGTTGTTCCTAAAACCTGGATAGGTGACGATACTTTTGTCAGGTAGTTTATATAAAAATCTGAAAAAAATCAAAATACTGATTTGCCTCAAAGTTAAACTATATAAACAACCATGTGTGTGAATGTATTCTAAATACACAAGTGCAGATGCAAACAAGAGACCACACGCCACACAGCAGTTTTTCCTTTCATTTTTTTTCTTTTTTTAAAAAACAAGAAGTTCCAAATACTCTGAAACCTGAAACCCCAGCACTGACCTCCACCAGCGAATCGCTAGAATCAGAGCAGAAAGAACAAAGGTTTCATCAATACATGATCCTAACTACAGCAATGCATAGAGATCTGGTGAACGTCACCAAACCTGGTTCCCTGCAGAGCCCATTACATTGGGTCGTGTTGACCAGAGCACCAGTCGGGTCGGCTTAAGTGCAATGTTGGAAGAACTAACGGGTTTCAAGGAGGTTTATGATATCCTGTATCTTTCTGCCAATTAGCTTGCATGTAACAACTTGTGGAGCAGAAATGGCCTCATATATAATGTTTATGAGGTCATAGCTTTATTACCATGGGCAGACATAACACTATATGGTGCTTTAAAGATTGTACTAACTAACCAGCATAGACAACTCATCTGATATTTAGACCAAAGAAGGGATTCTTTGAGCTGTTTTCAGGGTCCTGATTGGTCTCTGTTACAAAAGAAACAGCGCCATCATGTGATTATTTGAGTGCAGTGAACGAGAGCTTAAAAGTCAGTGCTATCAGACGCAGGAACTGTTTAAATACCATTCGGCTTCGGAATATGAAGGAAAGAAAACGTGAAGCATAATTAACAGCGTGTGCGTCTGGAGTGTTTTGTGTACTGCTTAATACACAGTAAGGTTGAATGTGCTAAATTGTGTGTGTCGTTGAGCGAATTAAGACCAGAAGCTACAAACAGGAGTCCCAGTGGAGCTGCAGATCTGGACTGTCCAAAAAGTCTGCTGAAAAGACACTGGGTGGGGTGTGTGAGCTCAGAGGGGCGAGGACCAGACCCCCGCCATTACAATTACTGCCCCCTGTGACCACGGGTATGCCCAGCCAATCCATTCCATCCAGAGCAGGGTCTTCGAAGTCCAGGCTGGCCGGATGGGACGAGAAGCTCAGGTCACTGGTGTCCATTGGGGATGGCGGGTGGTCCAGAATACTGGAAGTGCTCAGCATTTGACTGTGTAGGTCATCGATTAGGGTTAACGGGCTATCCGGCTCCACACCGAGGAGAGGAGCGCCGGTTGTGCTCTCTAGAAAGTCCTCGAGGCGGCCGGTGGAGGAGCAGGGCCTGTTTTGAGTGTCCAGGAGCTGCTGGGATGGGACGGGCATGGGTTCAGGGTGATGTGCTGGTGGAGAGAGGTGGAGGGGAGATGGAGGAGGGGATGGAGAGGGCGGGTTGGAGTGGAGGTCAGAAAGGGAGGGGTCTTGACTGGCCTTAAATCCAGATGAAATTTCTGAGGTGGGGAAAAAAGAGAGGTTATAAATATTATATCGTACATTTTTTACCATGATTTACAGATGTAAACAGTGTATAAACATATGAAACATCTATGTAACAATATACTAGAATCTTTTATACGTACATAAAAAGTAAGTATTTATTGTGTATATAAAATATCACGACTCATATGATGAGTGTAAAATACTTTATTAATAAAGGACAGCTCCAAAAACATATTTTTACCAATAGTAAAACAGTAGGTTTTACCTATTTGTACTTATTAGAGTTCCACAATGGTTTTGTTTATAATATATTATATTATATTATATTATATTATATTATATTGTAAAATGTAGAAAAGAAAAGTATTTGCTCAGAAACAACTGATTTTTAATCAATTTAAAGAGACAGTTCACACAAAAAGTAATCATTTACTCAACTTTAAGAGGTCCTAAAGCTTTATGAGTTTCTATTTTCTGTTAAAGATATTTTGAAGATAGCTGAAAATCTGAAATCACCGACTTAAATACTGTGGAAGTCAAAGGTTACAGGTTTCCGGATTTTTATAAGGATTTGATTGGAATTAAACAGAAAAAAAGTTAAATAGTTCTTAAACAAGGGAGAGTAAATTAATTTTCAGTTTTGGGTGATATGTCCCTTAAATGCATCTAATCTACATAAAATCATCCTAAGTTTTGTTCTCTTTTCTTCCAGCTTAAAAAACTTATCTAAATCTTACAATTACATAGTAAACTTATTTATTTAAAAAATGACTTTTTTTTACCTCCACTCTTCATCAGAATTTCAAACAGATCATCTATTTGCTGGTTGTTAGAGACATTATCCTAAAAACAGAGAATATAATTAATGACACAATAATTAAATAAAAACAGAAGCAGAAGGTGAAAGAATAAAGGCGAAAGAAAGAATGAGCACAAGTAAAGGCCATACTTTGAGGCACTGAGGGGGTTGAGGGTTCGGCTTTGGAGAGGAAGGGGTAAATAAAGTATGTCGGTCAAATGTTGGGCAAATGTCCTCCTAAAATAGATGCGGATAATGAGTTAAGAAAGAAATGAGGAAAAAGAAATGCTAGCTTTAGCTTAAAACAAAGCGAGGAGGGTGAAAGGCAAAAGGAAAATGAGGTGTGGGAATGAACTCATGTGAAATACCTTAAATGAAGGAGGAGAGGTGGGTTTGTTCAGTGGGTTTGATTCCTCACAGAAGAAGGGCTCGAAGCTTGGTGGAGCAGACACAGGCTGACTGCTCTCCTGAACACTGGAGGTTTCTACGTGGAGCCCTGCTTTCTGAACCGGCAAACAGATTTTAGCATGAGTAAATGAATGTTTCAGAAGTTTCATTCAATGAATTGACGTTGCCCAGTTAACATCAATTCATTCATTCATTTTCTTTTCGGCTTAGTCCCTTTATTAATCCGGGGTCGCCACAGCGGAATGAAGTGCCAAATTAACTAGCACAAGCGGATGCCCTTCCAGCTGCAACCCATCTCTAGGAAAAGGATTAACATCCAATACCTTTTTAATTTTAAACCACACCAATACTTTTAGTGACGTGCAAATCAGGTATACACTGAGCAATTCAAATCCATGCAGCTTTCACTCAATGCTAACTTTAAACAAGATGCTTAAAAAATAATACTGTAAATACATATACACCGTAAATGCATGTGTACTATATTTACATTCACTCCTAAAGCAACACTCCACTTTATTTTGAAAACAGGCTCATTTTCATCAGTCCCCTAACGTTTTGTAGTTGAGTTTTACCCTTTTTTAATCCATTCAGATAGAGCACTTTCAGTTTAGCTTAGCATAAATAATTGAATCAGATTAGACCATTAGCATTTGCAAATTTCAAAATGAGAGTAAAGTAACATCATTTGTAATATCATTGAACATGCTGTAACTATGACACAGCTGTAGAGTTCCTTGTTTATTATTAAGCAAGAATGAGAGAATAGTTCCATGTCATATTGACCTAGAAAATAGCGACTCTTCATTATTCTGTCAGTCTCCGTACGCGACCTAACTACAGAATAGTCAAGCTTTAAATAGAAAAATCACAGAGAAACTTTTTTTTTTATTAACCGAGTTGCAAATTGTCTAATTTAATACAATGATTTATGCTACACTAAGCTAAAAGTGCTTTTGCCAGACCCACGATCAGCTAAATGAATAAAAAAAAAAATGGTAAAACTTAAATGTTCAACTTAATGCGGTTATAGTGGGAATTTTGAATTAAACCTCATGTCAAAAGCATCATAAAAAGTACACGAGTGTAAAAACATAAATTAAATGATATTGTCACATGCACCAAATTTAATCAAAACAACCATGTATGTAAACTTCTCAATTGCATAACTTCTGCTCTGGCTAAAGTGTGCATGTCATTGTGTTTCATCATTTTTACACTGCATTCAGTATCTGTTAAGCATCTCAGTGTTTCATGCCCCTTTAATGACCATTTAAATAACAGAGCTGATGAATATGCAATTTTTCAGATCTTCGACATGTTTAAAAAAAGCACATTCACAAGTCATTTCAACATACCTTGGTGATGGGCTCTCGGACAGCTTGTGAATGATTGGCAGAAGTTGTCATATCAGTAGATGATTGGCTAGGGAGCTTGATAGGGGTCGACTGCAATCTCTGAAACAAATAAACAAACCGAAAATTATAACTCAAATAAATGTTAATAAATATACGTTTAAATATTACTTAAAATATAATTATTATAACATATATATGAAGCAGCAGTGATACACACAGACGCATACACATATAGACATATACAGGAACATATACATATATAAACTTAAAAAAAACGAATTAGCATATTAGAATGACTTCTAAAGACTTATGTAAAAATTAAGCTCTGCTATGAAAAAATAAATAATAACTATAATAAATTAAAATACTAGTATAAAAAGCATACTAAAATATACTATTAAATTGCATCATTTCAAAACATTAGCTTCTACGAACCTTTAATTTGTATAACAATCAAATGTAACTATGTAACAAGCAATAAATTATTCTTAAGTCACCTGTAGAGTAATCCGTCCATTAGATTTGCTCTGAGGAGACTTTCCCGTCAGACTCTCCACACTATTACTGGTAAGTGCAATCAGATAGCGGTTGCCGTTGCTGTCAGTGACCAGTGTGGGAGTGGGATGAGCTTTCAGGATATCCAGTGGGAAAGACGTAGTAATCTGAGTACTAGACTGCTGGCTGACAAACACCTGTGAAACCTGTCAAGTAAAAAAAAAAACATGAAAACAAAAGCCATCCAACCAATTATTTAAGCTTTCAGAAGAGCTGTAGATGCCACTAACCTGTGGGCTCTGTAACAGATTTTGTGGCTTCTGCTGCTGCTTCAGATTGGCTTGCAGCTGCTTTTGCTGGCTTTGCTGGATGATGAGCTGCTGCAGCTTTTGTTGTTGCTGCTGTTGCAGTAACGTCGCCTTCTTTTGCTGATGCAGTTGTGTTTTCTGCTGCTCCTGCACCAGTGTCCTCTGTTGCTGTTGTAGAAGCTGCGCTTTCTGCTGCTGCTGTTGTAGTAGCTGCGCTTTCTGCTGCTGCTGCAGTAACTGTGCCTTCTGCTGTTGCAGTAATTGCACTTTCTGGTGATGTTGCAGCAACTGCGTCTTCTGCTGCTGCGACACCTGTGTCTTTGCTTGCTCTTGCTGCACTTTCAGTTGGTCCACTTCCTGCTGCTGTGTATTCTGTAGATTTGGTAGGTCCACCAGTATTTGCTGCTGCTGCACCTGCAGTCTGTGAATCTGCTGCAGCTTGAAGAGAGTCTGCTGTGAACACTGAGTCTGTATCTTCTTCAGAGGCTGGATTTGCTTCTGCAGGTCCTCCGAGGTGTCCATTTCTTCCTTGACCTCTTCCTTCACCTTTACTTCCACCCCGTTAGACAGCATGGGTATTTCGGTGTCGACTGCAGGCTCTGTTGGTGCTGCACGCTTACCCTGCTCCAGCTGAGAACGCAAGGCCTCCACCTGCCTCTGCTTCTGTCTCAACATGCGCGTCAGCTCCTCGATCTGCTTGTCTTTCTCTTGAAGCATTTGGTCTTTGTCCAGAGGAGACAATGGACATGGATCGTGAGGCTGTGCGGCTGGCAGCGTCCCCAGACGAGAGAGACTGCAGGAGGACTGCACCTGCCCTAGAGACTCCTCTTTAATTGGGGAAGGCTGCTCTGGAGAGGGGTGCAAACTGAGCTGGGTGAGAGGAGAACTAACCTGGTAAAAAAACAAAAAAATCGTAAAATGCTGTGATCTTAACTAAAATACAAAAGAAATAGCAATGATAATAATTTGATCATAGATGTATCTTGTCAACATTTACTTTATTTCATTCTAAACCTGTATGAATACTTTTTTCTGCATTAACACAAAAGTATATTTTGTAGAACTGTATTAATCATGTCGGTTCCCACTGACTTCCATTGTTGTTCTTATTACATACAATGGAAGTAATAGGGAAGTGAAACTGTTAAGTTCACCAGTATTCTTCAGAATATGCTCTTTTTAATTCCAATAAGACAGTCAGTCTTACAGGTTTGGAGCAAGATGAGGATTAATAAGCGATAATGTGTTCTGCACTTGATGAAAATAGCTATTTATCAAGAACTAATGAATTAATTAAATACTGAAGATACCTATAAAAATAGTACTGATTCTTTGTACATCCATGTTTTCTGACCACAGGCTTACCATTTCTCCAAACACATCACCGTTGCAGCTGGCCTCATCTGGACTCAGTCCAGTCACAGAGCGGTCAGATGGGGTAGGAGACACAGGAGGAGAGGAGCTGGTGCTGCTGAAACGCATGATCTGAGGTGGTGTTGTGCTGTGGACCCTTGTGGTAGGCGTTAAGGGAAAGGCTGAAATTGGTACAGTTGTGTCTTTGGGGTGTTGATGTGGACCAGACTGAATCGACACCTGTGGTAACTGAGCAGGCACTGTTTTCATTGCTGGAGCCCCTGCTGCTGATGAACCACAGTTCTGCTCCTGGTAGTTCTTCAGGCGTTCAATGAGATCGTTCTTAGTGCCCGATACAGTCAAACCCCTCAACTTGAGTTCATGTTTAAGTTCAGCAACCTAGAGGTGAAATAAAGTCAATTTGAAAAATTAATCAATTTCTCTTATAACTCACTCAAAAAAAATACATAATCTGGTTCCAAAATTGCCAGAAGAATTAAGTGGTCACTGTTTTTTTTTTTACTTTGAATTCATCTAGGTTTGCTGGCAAAGTGCTGGGTTTGGCTCCTGCCACTGTAGGCTGGCTCTGACGACTGGTTCCAGTCTGATTTGAGGAGACTGCAGTGGAGGTGGAAATAGTCTGGGAAGGGGCAGGGCCAGGATTTGTGGATGGCTGCTGCATTTCAGTAGCAAGTCTGCAATTAAACAGATTATTTAGAATAGGCATCTTTACAATGGTATTGTAACCTATTTAATGTCAATTTAATCTGTATATTTTATTTTTTCCTGCCTAGATTTGTATGAAAGATTTATTATGCTAATTATGCTTGTTACTCAAGTTATTTTTTGCATTTACACTAAAATATTTTGTGATGCATTTAAAGTAGGTGTTTTATGGGTCATGACCGATATTGATTAAGAATAATGCCTCTGTTTAAAAATTTGAATTCATTGACATTTTTAATAAAATGAATACTAATATTGAGCAAGTACACACTAAATTGATCAAAACTGAAAGTAAATACATTTATAATGTTAAAAACCATTTCTATTTTAAATAAAATCATCTTTCTTTTTGTTAAAGACCGCTAAACATGCATGGTAACCACCAAAACATTGATAATGAAACATAGTAGTCAACATTCAAAGTGGATCAAAAAAAGTTCTTTAAAATTGTCTTAAGACAGCGAGTGTTGTTCAATAGTTTTAGGAAAACTTAAATAAAAAAATTTTGATATACTTGAGATGTTTTCTACTATATATTAAAACAGACAGCTATTTTAAATAACAAAATATATTCACACTATAATCACTACTAGAAATATTATTGATCAAATAAAGCACCTTCAATGAGCATACGAGTTCATAACACACTCAAATGAATCCACATCCACTTGTACTCACTTCGGAGGTGCGGGTAGGATGGTGTGGTAGTTGTAGTGCTGCTGCTGCTGGTTGATGATCTGAAGCTGAAGGAAAAGCTGCTGCTGGTGGAGGATTTTGGCGTACGAGGAGTCCAGCTGAGGCGGTGGCTCCCGGTCGTTCTTCTGGTCAGGCGGGATATACTGGTGATATTTCAGCTTCTTTACTTTGGGCTTGTTATCTTTGGGTTTCTTTGATCGTTGATAGGTCCGATCTGTGCTGGACTTGAACTGAATAAAGCCAGACATCAAATTAAAATGAGCATGACCCTTTTATTTGTTTTTTTATCAGTTCAAAAATAATAATTTTACACTTTACCTTTGTATGTCCTGATGGTGGACGGGAAGAGTTTGAAATGTTAGTTTCACTGGTTAGATTTTTTGGTGGAGAGGCGTCAGACGTGACAAGAAGAGGTGGAGGAGCCTGAGTGAGGAACTACATTATATACTCTGGTTAAATATGGTATGTGATCTTTAATGCATCCCAATACAACAATGGATCATGTAAAGTAGGGCTGCACAATATATCGTTTCACCATCAATATCGCAATGTAATTATTCGCAATCGTCACATCGCAGGATATGCAATGTTAAGTTTGTATTATAATTTATGTTTGCATGTGTTTTTGTGTTCGCCTGCGATTGTATAATGATTTTAAAAACATTCAGATATAAGAAATTGTACCATTAGTGACCATAATTTTTATTAATTTTATTATACTATTTTTATAATTTAATTACTGTACTCGAAATACTGTTAAACTCTGAAAATTATAAAATATTTCAATAGCGTCTTTCTCTTGATTGTATTTATAGATTATTATGAAAATACAACCAAGCAAATACAAAAATGCACTGCAAATGCATTGCAAAATAAGAAAATATCTTAATGTTAGATACATCCAATATCATGCAGCTCTGGATGAATGAAATAGCAGTCGTGCCCTCAGAAAGCAATTGTCCATTAATCTCATGCTGAAAAGCAGGAATCTACCTGACTAGGTGAGAGGTCTCCGTTCATGTTCAGCATATCAGAGGGGGAGTGTTGAGGGCCGAGACCCAGCGGAGAGTCCTGACTGCACTGGGGATCTGGAGAAAGAGCGTCACTGCTGTCCTCATCCAGTGATGAGCTCTCACCCTTCGGAGACTCTGTACCTGAAAATACACACAAGACATTTAATTATTTATGTTTTAATGCTATATCAAAAGCATTGACTATATTCATGGGAAAACCTATAGTAATCATACATTATAACATGCAATCATAACGGTTTCATAATAAACATTCATTGTAAAAAAGCATGCAAATAACAACACTGAAAAGAGTCATATATATAATCTTTCAGTTTGATTAATGATAAAAAATTCCTCCAAAATACACCTTTTTAAACATTTCCCTTAAACTATTTCCTTGATAAAGGCATTCTCTAATATGATTTTAAAATATGCATTGTATTAAAATATGTTTTATTGTCAAAATATTCTTACACAACTCATAAATAGGTTTTTCGTTTCCCCTTTCAACAAATGTGAGTGTGTAAGTCTTAAGTGGCCAATTCTACATCTTGTATGTTCAACCTGATCATGTCTATTTCCAAAATGGTACACACAAAGGTTAGTTGCATGATTTGTGCAGGCATACAGTTATAAATAGTCTATTTTTAACAATGGTCTGACACACATGCTAATCTAGAGCAGTGGCCATTTAACTTTTGGATTATGCTCATTCAACCACATGTTGCGTAACGACACAATAGATGAGTTCTTGCTGCCATATTATGTATCAAATTCCCAATTTGCATATGTCATAAGAGATGGTCTGGAAGGAGATTTCACATGGACATTTGTAATTATGTACACACCCTCAGCATATATACATTTGTAATTATGTTTATCTATCTGCACACTTCTGATTAATAATAGCAACTTGTACATATAATCATCAATTGTAAATCTCTGTTTATAGCAAATACAATCTGTATATAATGTTCGTAGTACATCCATCTGTAAATATGACCATAGTTTTTCTATAACTGCACTCTATAACTTATACCTGTATCCTGCACTTGCTGTTATTGCACTGCTTGTTAGACCTAAACTGCATTTCGTTGCCTTGTACTTGTACATGTGTAATGACAATAAAGTTGAATCTAATCTTATCTAAATCTTCACAGAGGCTAGCAGTTGCTAAAGCTAAAGATCTTGTGCTCCTTGGATAATCACTGTCCAAAGACATGCCTCCTCTAAGGTACAGTAATGTGCACAGACCTGATACCAGAAATGATAAAATGAGGGAGATTACCTCATATCCAACTTATCAGTGCTAAAATATTACAGTTCAAACTGTGTTTTTGATTGCCAGCAGCATGACAGGTACCCAGTGTTTTGTTCAAATGCACTGGCAGTAGAAGAGTATTCAACTCAGAGTTAAACACAGACTGCATAAAAGCTCTGAAGCACTTGTGTGAGCATGGAAGAGCACAGGCATTTTAAGCTGCTTCGGTGGACATGCACCTAATAAGTTTGCATAATGGGAATGCGCTGATGACATGATCTGTCTGTGCGAATGGAATGCAGAAGTAGGCAAGTCTTGACAATTTGGACCAAACATCAGTGCTTTTTTTTTTGCTCCAATATCTTCCACAAACAATGTAAATACATTTAAACCACTTCATTTAATGAGTGCTGTTGAGATATATGGACACTTTCAGCCAGCATAACAAAATATTTTTTAACCAAATCATATACTCTGGCATAAACTGACCTGTGAACAAGAATCAAATTTTAAAAGTAATAATGTTTTTAAATATTGTTATGCTAGAGAAGATCCTTTTTTAAGAAGGGATGATGAAAATCCCTTTGAGGGTGCCTAAATGCCATCGAAAAACATAAATTGTATTGTCTGAAGTAAATACCCACAAAAAATTTTAAACTTACGATTTGGGGTGAATCTTTCCTTTAAATGCATAGTTAAATTAAATTTATGTCCTCATTCACGCAGCATCAAGTCATATTAAACGAAATCACATGTTAAGATATTTTAAATGAAAACTCAGGATTCTGTCTCTCTTTCTAAAGTCTATTTCAAAACTTAAATTTAGAACAAGGTCATAAAGTCATGGTAAAATGAATTGATATAAATCAAGTGCTTTAATCCAAAGCTTTTAAAGTTGATTTGAGGGTGATGAAAGAATTCATAAGGGAAAATTATGATTTTTGGAGGGCCTTTTTTTGTGGGTTTTAGGTTTGAATTGTATCTTTAAAAATAAATTAAAATGAAAAAATTAAAAGTGATTTTAGATTGTTAATGAATCAATGTCAACAAAAACATGTATATATTTTTTACTCATTGATGTTCAGCTGTTACATGAGATGACTGATGTAATTGACACTAAATGTATCTAAAGGTCCCTTCTTTTTGTCAACTTGGCAAAAAAAAGAAAAAGATTTGCGTTGTTATTTGTGGATAAAATGCTTATGGTGCTTAAGCAACAACACCAACACAGCTGACATTGCTATAACTGTGTGCAACATAAACGCTGTTATTTGCAACACGCAAATTATACATTGCAATCGGGGAATTAACTTTTCAGTAATGTTAGTTTGTGTCATACATGCTTCGTGAAACAAACTTATATATTTAATTCAATTACATCTACAACAATTTATTATTTAAACTTATTTAGGTGTTCAGTGTTTTGACAGATATTGAGTGTATTCTGATCTACAACAACCTCTGATTGGCTATTGAGCAGATGTGTGATTCTCAAAGACAACCTATGTTTGATATTAAAAGAAACAATGACAAGTTCAAATTCCTGCACCAATAAATAAATGACCATAAAAGATTGCACTTATAGATAGATATTTATTTTACTGTTTAACTTCCATGTGCGAGCAGGTGTCATACAGACTCTGTGGCTAATTTTACTTTACCTTTAGGCTACATGTCAATACAAACACCTATTTTACAAGACAAGTCTTGTGAACACTTATATGGTCTATTAGAGCTATAGATCTGTCGGTTTCAGACTGCTAAATCAATATTTTCTAACATAGATTTTGTGGCATGAGTATGCATACACAATGGTATGAACCATTATGGGATGGTCAAATGTATATTTATTTAAAGCGTTCTTACACCTTTTCCAAAGTCAAATTAAAGCCCTTTTCAAGCACCTTCCATGTGCAATTTAATAATTTTCAACAATTAACACATGCAAAAAACTTGCATACATTTGCAAACATTTATTTTAGTTTTTAATTTCAAAAGATGTAGATGATAAAAAGGAGAAGCAGAGCAAGCTAAAGGCATGTGTGCACACTCCAGAGTTTTCATTTTATTTAAAACCAAAGAGATATTTTTTTTAATCTTTTTAGATAGTTAATTATTATTACCTATTGAGTCATATAAATATAACAAAACATCACAATAACATTTTCAAGCACTTTCAAGTACTTTATCTAAAAAAACACTTTTCTAACATTCAAAACACCAGATTATATCATCTATTTTTTTATTAATTTATAATTAATTAGATTTAATTAATTTAACATTAAGATACAGATAAGAGTTAATGCTGTATCACTGTTTACAGGCCAGACATTGCCAAAACATTCAGTTTTGACATTCTTCAGGGGGGATCAAGCGTTAATTAGGAGGAGTCAAACCCCCCTGCATCTGGGTTATTTGACAGTGGTTTCAGACTAACCAATGAGTGCATGCACCGGCAGGATGTTCTTGTGGATGAGCTCGATGGGACCAGGGCGATGGGAGATTTTATCATTAAGATCGTCGGCCAAACGGGCTCTTTTCAGCTTCAGCTGCTTGGCCTGCAGTGAAGGCTCAGCTGAAGTCTCTGTGGGTGAAACAAAACTGAATCATTAACAAAATAATTCCTTTCTCCTACATAAAACCCCCTTAAGTCCTTTAAAAGTCACTGACTGATATTTGTTTTGCATACAGATGAACTAGCTGTTTCTGTTGTAACTGGAATACAAAACATACGAAAGTATATATAAGTAAGAAAGTATAAGAAAGATGCTTCACTTTGAAATAAGAGCTGAAGTCATTTGAATTGATAAGATAACAACAGTATTAAATAGCAAATAATTAGAAACACTGTGACAATTATACAGTAAAATAAATATATAACAGAGTGGATATATAATACAGTAAAAATAAGTTATTTACATGTCACAATTTAAAACGATGACATGACACTTACCCTCGAGGATATGCATCCTGACCAGTTCTGACCTCTCAGGCCGGCTCCTAATCTTCCTCTTCAGGTAATCCTCAGTCTACGGCAGTAAAAGAGAGAATAAGGATCAAATTGTGAAAAAAGAGCACATTCCTGGTTTTTAAGTAGAAAAAGAAAGATAAAGTCACTCACGCGTGCTCTCTCCAGACTTTTCCTCTGTTCGTGGAAAGCAGCCGGGCTCTTCAATGCTGTGCATTGAAAAAAACAAACAGAGCTGATTTTACTTTCTGATTTTCAGTCACAGGATTGTGTATTTATTACTTTAATTAGCTGAGATTAATTAGTAAAATATTATCCAAAGTCGATTTTGTTAGATGTGATGGAAACCCCATAATTTTTCCATTGTGAACCAAACCATTTCAAACTACTACCTAATATTTTTCTACAATGTCTCTTGGATTTCCAAGTATTTTTAATACTCATAAATTTGTTCCCTTAACGAAAACCTGATATTGAGGAACTATGAAAGCAGAATGTAAAATTAGTTATTAAAGGTCATCCTGAAAGGTCATAGTTTTAAAAAAAGGAACATCCCCCATGTAACAATCTCTGAAAGAACAAAGAGAGTTTTATGTATTAAGAGCAAGTGTGTCTGTTCACCTGCTTTTTGCTTGTTGTGATAAATACATTTCATCAGACATTAATTAACTCTATTAAAGACAAAGATCATTTACTCATACTCATTCGTTCCAAACCTTTATGAGATTCTCATAAAGCTGAAAACCTGTAATCACTGACTTCCATAGGAGCAAAAAGAATTGCTATGTAAGTCAATGCTTACAGGTTTACAACATTTTTCAAAATATCTTTTTTTTTTCAACAGTAACAAAGTGCAAACAGGTTTGAAACAAGTAAAGGGTGTGTAAATTATGCCAAAACTGTAGTTTTATGGGAGAACTATTCCTTTAAATAGTTTGATTTGTTTGAGCCATTTTCTATCAGACGATAATATCAGTAAATTCTGCTTGTGTGTGTACAAGTGTATATATATATATTATGCTGAAAATAAAGGGGGAACAAAACAACAGAATACTGCAGATATAACGGGGCTGTATTGTAACAGTACAGTAAGAATGTGATGTAATGGTTGATTGTGCAACCGAATTGCTTAAATTTGTAAAACCACAAGCCAGGGTAAGCACTGGGCTGGTCTCTGCAGAAGAATCTCACAATATCAAATCTGCAACAATGTGCAAAAGTTTGGGGTGAATAATTTTTTCTTTTTAGTGTGTTAGTATCATGTGATGAAAACTAACAGCTTGTAATGGCTGCGTAAAGCTTAAATTAGGAGTCAAGGGTAATAAAGGTTTTATTGTGTTTTTGGTCATATAAATGCATCCAAAGTGAACTTTTGAGAACTCTTTGGTACATAGCAGAACAATCAAGATTCCTCTATGATTTTCACAATGTGAAAGACATGAAAAGAATTAAATAAATCCAATAATAATATTAGATTAGCTGTATGTAACAGGTGGAATGTCACAAAATTTTTGCAAATTTGGACTATATCAAAAAGTAGTGCTATACAGAGGATCATCTTGCATTTGGGGATATCTGTAATTAATAAAATGCAAAAGACTTCTTAAACATGAGTCTAAGTGAAAGGAATGTTGCCTTATTGTTTGAGAATAAATACGACGATAACAATTACATAAAGATACACAAGTCTATAAAACAACTAATCAAAAAAAAAGTTTATCATAATATTAGAATGATTTAGTTATTTTAAGACATTATGGCATACACTACCGGTCAAAAGTTTGGGGTCAGTTTTTTTTTTTTTTTTTTTTTCATGTTTTCAAGTTTGTTTGTTGTTGTTACAATGAAAATTTAAAAAAAAAAGTTAAATTGTTAAATATTTATTACAATTTTAAATAACTGCTTTTTATTGTATGTAGTTTCGAATAAAATTATTACTCCAGTCATTATTGATTTTATTACAATTACCATTAAAAACAACAGCAACTAATATAAGACTTCTGAAGGATCACGTGACTCTAAAGACTGAAAATACATCTTTACAATATTGGGAATAAATAATGAAATTAAATGAAAAACTACTTTTAAACAGTTTTTTATAGTGCAACAGCATTTTACAATTGTACAATTTGTTCTGTATTTTTCATGAAATAAATGCAGCCTAGGTGACCAGGACAAGCTTATTTTAAAACATTTAAAAATCCTACTACCCCCAAACTTTTGACCAGTGTATGTAGTCCTAATAGTCAGTAGAATATACTTCTTAATGTAGCATTAAAAACAAAAATAATAAATATAACAATTTTTTTTTCTATCCCAACAGTATCAAAATCAGAGTTAAAGAAAAAAAGAAAAAAATATTTCTTGGGGTCCCAATTGTTTTGCTAAATTCTTAAATTGCTGCTAAATGCAAATGTTATGCTTTCTAGTAACCGGACAAATATTTTGGTAAACAAAACAACACCACAAATTTAAGAATAAATGGAATGAAAAACTATTTCAACATTATACCAAATTTTACACAAGATTCTGGAGCTTTTATTTTGCAATCATGAGTAAAAAAAAAAATATGGATAACTCTTTTTACATCGCTTGTTATGCATCATATACACGTGTATATATTTATTGTGTACTTGAAATGCAAAGAAAGTTAAATATATTACACACACACACACACACACACACACACACACACACACACACAAACAAACAAACATAAACACACACAAACACACGCACACACACTCGCACGCACGCACACACACAGGCACACGCACTCACACACACGCACATGCACGCACACACACACACACATGCGCACACACACATGCACACACGGTATGTCTGATAATTTTTTTTTCTTCTGGAGAAAGTCTTATATGTTTTATTTTGGTTAAAATGAAAGCAGTTTTGAACTTTTTAAAAATGGTCAAAATTATTAGCCCCCTTAAGCAATTTTTTGATAGTCTACAGAAAAGAAAGGAGTTATTAAAACTAATATTTCTAGAAAGGTGTTGAATTTTTTTTCTCTCCGTTAAACAGAAAAAATTAAAAAAATAAATAAAAAAGGGGCTAATAACTCAGAGGGGCTAATAATTCTAACTTCAACTGTGAGTATATATATATATATATATTATTTTAAAATAAGAAATCTTACACCACGTTATGTCCAAAGCACAGTCGTACAGTTACATTATAGAGTTTTGAAACCTTAATGTTTTCCTGCAGTAATTCCATGTGCAGAAATGGACAGATTTTGACATGAACATTTAGAGTGAATAATTGTCTTGCTAATAGTGCTATTGCTGATGATTATTTCTTTGTGTTTAGCACTGCATGAAGTTAACAAAACAGTTCATTTTTAGCAGTCACTTTTAAAGAGCAGAGCTAGATAGGGTACTTCCTCCTTCCCACTGAGACCACACAGACAAGCACAGTGTGAAGACTGCAATTCCTCTCACTTGATGAGCAGAACATAGAATAAGGAAGTGGAAACAATAGGGGAAGTAGATCCACCTGATAACACAACAACAGGCTCTTTCACAATGACTATGTGTTGGCAAGCAAGAGTCAAGTCTTTCACAGAGGACATGCTAGAGAACCGTGCCACCGGCGAGCCTTGCAGCAAAATGCATGTTTATGCTACAGAATGCTTTACAATGCATATGCTTTTTTTGCTTTCAAGTGGATGTGAATTGCTCCATAAATCACATGAAGAGGAATTAAATTTCTCAGTCAACTGCATGCAGAACGAGCCGGGAATGTTGCAATATCCTTCACACCATCATGCAATACTTTACTACACCAAAACAGCAACTTTTTGACATAACAACAATTATTGCAACTGCCACTTATAAGGAGTTTTCCATTGTGGATGTATTTGAGGCTGTGTATTACATGTATTACAATGTATTACTCTATTACAAATATTAAAGAATTCTGTTATTGCATGGTTTTTGCAGATGTTTAGATGTTTTAAATATATTGTCAAACAAGCAAACCCTAGAGCTTTTAAACAGATGTGATTGTAGGGACGATTATTAAACCATATTGTAGAGTAATTGAGTTTTGTTAAAAGTTAAAATGGATTGTTGGTGATTGGATACATGTTGGGTAGCTTTACATGGACATAGAGAAATTATGATTTAATTAAATTAATTATTTAAAACCTACAAGACAAAGTTTCAGTGAATTTAAGGCGTTAAGGACTAAAATTTAGTTTTTGAAAACAAAGACGTTTTAAGACTTTTTAAGGGCCCATGGACACCCTGTATTATATCCAGCTTGAATATACAGGCAAACGTACATGTTTCTAAATAGGTATTTAAGTGTCTTTCCACACTTGGATACAGAATATAGCTGCTTGCACAGTTAGTGAAACCATATAATAAAAAAAATAGTGGATCATAATTTAATCTGGCATCTTCATCATGTCTTTATATAATTTTTGTCTTTACACAATTTCTATCAGGCACAGACCAGCCTAAAATATTATGTAAAGTTGGCTTGAAAACACACAAGTCACACTTTATAATGTCTGAATGTCGCATGTTAAATATCAACGCAAGTGGTATTTGAAAACATGATTAAATGACTTTTTTTGCAAAAGGTTTTGTGTGTGCGTGTTTGTGTAATTAACGTATAAAATCATGTTCAACCAGAAACTGAAAGTCTATAAGTGAAGTTTAACAAATTCAGAATTTGCTTAACCGCATGAAGCTTCACATGTAAAATAATAGCCAGAAAACTATTTAAAAGAGTTAACTGTATCTGAATATGTCAGATGAGGATTGAGGGAATATTTGTAAAACTCATTGGAAATGTACCAGCTCAGCCATGTGGAGAGAATTTTGTTGGGTAAATGTTTTGAGGTTTTTCATCACACCATCACAGAAAACAAAGAGGAAAGGGCACTAGCTGCTGGAGAGTGTGTGGGGAACAAAAGTAGCTAATCACTATCATGTTTTTTGGGATTATCAAAAATTATACCCATATTGGAAAGAGATTAAAAATCATTTAGACAGCATTTTTGAAGTAGAGATTGCTCTCACTTGAGAATTTTATATATAGGTAATATAAGTTTAGATGAATAGATCAATAAAAACAAGAAACTGTAATTTATTCTTCTGGTAGCCAGTAAAAAGTAATTACAAAAAAATGGTTAGAATTAAAGTCACCTACAGTATTGATGGATTGATACAGTGCACACCAGATATGTGATGGATTTAATTAAAATTTTTCATTAAGAAAAGAGACTGAATACTTTTTTTCTAATTTGGAGTTAATGGATTGAGTAAATCTCACCAATATGCCCAGAGTCTTCTTGAATTGTAACTTTTAAATTTAATAAGATGGTTCTAAATATAAATCTTTGCAAGATATTTAAGTCTCGTTCTATATGAGAGATTATAAAAGTTATATATGTATTTTCTTTTGACAACTTAAAATAAAAAACTAAAAAAATATATATTAAAAGACTGAACCAACTGAACAGTTCTGAGTTGACAAAATATAAGAAACATATTTTATCATATTTTCATCACATTGTATTTTTTTCATATAAAACGTTAAGTTTGTTGTATTACATTTTAGTTACAATATGGAGTTTACGCTTATCCAGAGGCTCAATTTGAGCAGACATAATACTTTTTTAATTTAATTCATTTATGTAAGCACATACCACAACTTAAAGATGGACAGTTTTTGGAAAGCAACTGAAGGCCTTACTTGCTAAATTGTTTCAACTGAAGGCAGTGAGTGAATCAAATACAAATGCTTTACAGTTAAGTTGATAGTGTAAATTAGCTTTAGAATGCTGTGCATCAAATATGATACAATATTCTTCATAGGGTTAACCACAAAGACTCTTCGTTTTGCACAATGCACTGCTTGTTTTATAACCTGAAATAATAGTTGTGATATTTAGCATTTTTGCGCTATATTTTTATATACTAAATGAAATTAGTTCAATATTTTAGTATATAACTCAAAGACACATATTTTAAAACTGCCTGCTCTACCAAATGGTTGACCATATTTTTTAAATAATGACTGGTAAAGTCATTTAAATAATGATTTACACACAGAGCATTGTTGGTTTACAAAAAAATCTAACAAATATGACCCTGTTGCACTACTACACTTGATGTTTTTTTTTTTTTGTAAATCATGTTAAATATGAATCTGAAATGAGAATCATATATACTCTGTTTTTTAAATAAATTGGTCTTACACATTCATATTTTCTGCTTTTCATAATATATGCATTATTTCTGGTACTTTTACCATAAACCGATATATTTACCCTTTGAGATAGGTTGATTGATGATTGAGTGTGTTAACTAGTGACATTATGAGTTAAGATATGCAATCCAACTTTTTTTTTTCTTGGTGGGGCAGTTAAAGAGTTAAAGAATAATTTATGCATTCAAATGCATTTGCAACCCTCATAAACACTTTCTAAATTAACATTACAATCTACTTTGCTGCAAAAAAAAAAACATGATGATTTTCAATTCACACGATTAAAGGAATAAAATCAGACTTACGAGGCATGATTCCTTGGCTGACCAGCTCCTCTCGTGTTCTTCTCTGTTGTAGTTTGAGTTGAAGAACTGCATGGAGACAGAGAAGAGTGCATTGAGATACAGAGAAGGACCATCAGACTTCAACACAGACGGGACAAGAGCTTAAAAGGTCCCTCTATCTGTTTCATACGAACTAAAGACTGAATGGGAGGGACTTTTAAAATTGAGGTTGTTTGGGTGGTTTACATACTTCCTGTTTCAGCACTCAACCACTTTCCCGAATTTAAAAAAAAAAAAAGCAACCCAAAGACAACAAGGGTTCTTTAAATCAGGAACTTGAATGCTGGCACAACACATTGGCGAGTTGCTAAATGATTATGAAGAGGGGTGTGTAATGTTTTAGATTTGTCATTATTGCTTTGTTTTATGAAACGAAGCCGTTACTACGGATGTGGCTGTATTGATGGCGTTCAGGCACCTGTCAGTCCTGTCACAATGACATCATCAGCCACATGGCACTGCTTTTGTGTGCACTCGTCAGCTGTTCTGACCTTCACAGCCACAAAGTCTGGGGATCAACAAACCAGAGCCATGTCTGAGTCTCCAATTCCAAGAGCTTTCATACATTCAATTTCCATTACAATCCTATAACATACATGAAACCTTATGAGTTTTATGGTGGAAAAAGGTTCTTATTAAACTACACAAGTAATTTCTGTTTGTTAACATTAGCTAAGATTAAAACTTTTAATAACTACAGCACTTCTACAGCTATTAGTAATTTACACAATGTTAAACTTAAATTAAATGGATTTCTTAAAAGTTGCATTTGTTGACATTAGTTAATAGTCTTTGATGTTTGAACATATATGTAAAAAACAACAAACATTTTTACTAAAAACATTTCAACAGCTAACAATCTAGATAATGTTACTTTAAACTTTATTAATGCAACTTTATTGTTAACATAAGTAATTGACTGCGATCATGGAAAACACAAACAATGAACACATTTTTACTAACAAACAATAATAAAGATTATTATATGTGGCAAAAAAAGTAGTGCTCAAACTTAACTAACAAATGAGACCTTTACTGCAAAGAGAAAATATGATCACAAATGCTTTACCAACAGGTTTTTAGAGGAATATAAAATGTTTCTAAACTGTCACTTAAAATCCTAAAATCCCAGAACTTTGAAACAATTGTAAGCTGACCTATAGCTGACATTTGCGATCAGCTCTGAGGATGTGAGTCCTGGGCTTTGAAAATAGGGCCCTTTTTTTTGCAAGTTCCCTCAAAAATCCCAGAACACCCACTTTGGTTCTCACTTGCAAATCCATCTTAAAAGTTTCAGTATTTATTCTAAAGTCGTCTTATTCCCACTTCATTATAACAGCTGTTTTTGACCACCCACTCCTTGGCACGGCAGGGCACTATTTTTGCACCCACTGAAGAAGAAACACAAGCCCTGTCGCACCTCTCAGGGAACCTGGCCTGGTACTGTAAATCAATCAGACACTTTTAAATGCCAACACTCTCTCCATCTTCCCTTCGCCAGCCTGGAAAATTCTGTGAAAGACCTGGAAAAAGTGCCGCTAACATCCAGGTCTTGAAACAAAAAAAAAACAAAACAAAAAAATCTAAATCATGCAGACAACTGGATTAATCCAAGAGCCTGTGTGTCTGTGCTCTTAATTAAACATGGCTGTCCTTAAAGTCCCTATGCCTGGCACACTTTACAGGTCAACCAGTGCTCGCTCTTGGCTCAGTTCGAGCAGCTGCGGTGATCTCACCACTAAGATACCAGAATAATCAGGTTTGATGCACGAACACTCGGGATAAGCACTAATAAAGCTAAATTCAGTTTATTAGGTTCACTGAAAAAAACGATGTCTGCAAAATAGTTGCAAATAATTTGATTGTGTTGAATTTAAACAAGCAAATTAAATTTAATAAAAGTCAACTTAGTTTGTTAGTTTAAATTCAGCCCAAATAAATTGTTTACAGCCACTTAACATAAAAAAAAATATTAAATCCAAAGAATCATCTCTGATTTTTTTTTTCAGTGTTGGAAGCACACCTGGAGGGTGCTTTATTTACACCCTATATAAAAACACCAAGCAATAAAGCCCACCTTCTTTGAGGTTGTGATAGGCATGTCTGTCACAGTCCAGACTCACAGGCATCTTATCTTCAGCATTTTGGATAAGCTGATCCTCAAATGAGGAAGCATCAATGTGAAGGCAGTGGTTTGTGTCCAGCATGTTTGGATCCAGTGAGTTAAAAATCTTCGAAAAGGTCTCAAAGTCAAACTAATATTCCACCAGTGGTGCAAAAGAGAGGAAAACAGATTGCATGGTGCAAGATTTCCTGAACAGTTGTGTCAGCCCACAACTGCAGTGTTTACAGTGTTTCGAATCACAGAAATAAAGAACGTACAGCTTCCACTTGGTTTATTCCTCATTCAAAAAAGCAATCCAATATTTTTGTTGTTAAAGGTAACTGAAGTGGCTCCAGTTGTGTCATGCAGAAGCAGAAAATAAAGAAACTTGACAAATTCACATAGGTGAGGACTGAGGAGCACAGAGCCTGCTCTGCACTCAACAGAAGACATTGAGAGAACAGAGTGTCTGTCGTCCTCAGACACAGAGGAGGATCCACAGTGTGCCAATGACTGCTTAATTCAGCTCAGCTGTTACCTCACATTTACTCCACACAAGCTGGCAGACCCCCATTCACACTCTTAGCTCTTTTACACTGCATCAAAAACCAATGCAATCACCCTTTAGAGTTATTGTAGTTGTGAATATTTCATTCAGCCTGTTTTTGGATTTAAGTTGTATTTTTAGCCTCATTAATCCGGTTTTCAGCATTACATGATCCTTCAAACAATGGTTTAATTATATGCTCAAGCAACACTTAATTATCGATGTCAACAACGGTTGTGCTGAACAATAATTTCTGTGGAAACCTACATGTGCAGGATTCTTTAATGAATAGAAGAACAGAACTTTCTTAAACACTGTCTTTTAATACGTTTATATTATAGACTGCAACCATGTGCAAAGAAATCAATTTGTCATCATTTTAAGTGTCTATGCTGAATAAAAATGTTAACAAAAAACAAAGTTGCATTCATATAGGACATATTAAATTGAATTACAACAAAGTCTAGATTATTTGTATAAGCAAAAAAGACGTTTAATTTACTGATTAGATGGAAACATTTTATTTCTTAAAAATTGAAAGTACACAAGGATATGCTTCAGTGCTTCTAATTGTTAGCGTTCATTTTACTTACATTAAGGTTTTCATAGATGATTCTCACTCAAAAACTAAAAATAGAGAATGAATGTAAATAAAATAACACGCCAACCCTCTCACCCATGCACATGACATGTTAATAGCTGATACTTAGCTAAGATTTTACAAGGTAAGTAATGAAACCCTCCGAAATGGTGTCACTGCTGGGCTCCTGGGAGTCCCGATGACATGAGCAGAGAGAGTGGAAGGAAGGAGGTCACAGGAAGAATGTAGGTCTCTTTTGACCTTTCCTTTCTTTCTGGCAGATAAAAGTACAGTAGTTTGCCTGTCAGGACTCAACAGGCTCACATATGCTCACATTTTGGCCTGTTGGCAAACTCTTTCGTGCCCCCACCCGGGTCCCCACTCAGTTTTAAATAGTAAGGCCAGCTGGCCAAAAGACTCTATATTGGGCTCAGTATCACCTGTGCAAGCACTGGATTGAGTTACCCTTCTCCATCCCTGAACTACAGATCTTATAAACATGACTCACACACATTTTCTAGCAAATACACACACACACAAAGAAAAAACACTGCAGGCTGACAATTGTTTCGAAACCTGGATAACTTTCTTCTGTAAACAAAACATTCTGAAGAATTTTGAAGTGGGATTTTTTCTTTACAATGAATTCCAGTGCAGCTTTAAATTACAAAATAACTTACAATGACACAATTCAGATTTTGTAAAATTTTCTTGCAGTGTTAATAACTCGCAGTTCTTTGTTCTATACTTTCAATAATGCTGGGTTTACACCAAACGCAAAGTTTCACGTCCCTTGCTCTAGTTTTTTCATGGAATGTTTTTCACCTTGTAAATTTTCTGCTCACGTTGAATATTTTGAACTTGCTTGGAAGATGTGATTGGGTCATTGCTGCAAACACATTGCGGATCATTCACACCAACAGGTTCCAGTGTAACGTGTTCCACATTAATGCGTTGCTGTAGTCTAATTACATTTTTGGGGAACACTGTAATGTAAGGAATTGCATTTTAAGTTTGTGTAATTTGATTACAGTTACTAAAGTAAATGTAATTGCGTTACTTGCGTTACAATAACAGTTTTTAGAAGAAAAACATGTTTCTTTTAAATCAGGTAACACTGTAACATCAATTAACAAGCATGCACTTTTAAATTGCTTGATTTCATTGAGCGTAAAAACTAAATTATTGCAGTGAAATGCAGTCTATATCCAGTCTCTAAAGCAGCAACTTGCCAACAAGTACTTGAATAGAAAGCATTCTATGACAATACTCGTCACCAAGGAGGACACCAGCACCCAAAAACACAGAGGCACAAATCAGCCTAAACAGGCTAGATTAAATTTTTGTGGAGGATCGGGAAAGTATCATCTGAATGTGAAGAGAAGCTTAGCTGTTTATGGGGCGATTCACCTATCACTTATTTTGCGCGCAGTGCGCACACTCATTTTGGTGTGGATTTTGGGCACGCTTGCATTTCCAAGCCACAACAAGTTTAAAATGGGTTTTATACTTTGTATGGAATATTTTGTTAGACTAATTACCTCAGACAAATACAAAATACCCAAACACTGCAGTGTTTTTTTAATAATATAGATGTCAGTTGTTGCAGATATCCAGTTTTCTTCCTTTTTTTGTGTTCAAAAAAAAAAAAATGATGAGAGAATTTTAAGTTTTGGATGAACTTTGTTTTTTTTTTAATATGCCAAGCTGCTGTGATCAACCATTGTAATGATTTTCAGTGAATATTAAAGTCCTGAAAGACCTGCATTTCATTTTGTATATTTATAGGTATATTT